GTTTCCGCATTAATTTAAAGAATCCTTCATTGAAAACTTATCTTGAAAATTAACCAGTAGTAGCCTAATAAATCGAAGTATTTCTATAATGGATTTGATTTTGCTACATGTTTAAAAAATTGCCTTATTTCGATCTGCCATGAGATAGAGAAAAAGCAGTTTTTGTATACAAATAGACTAATTTTCTGAATACTATACATGAGTGTTAACGTTAGCATTATCCGTTTATCCAAGGAGTCATGACTATATTTTCACAAAATTCATTTAAACGATTTGAAATGGAAAAAGGCTGAGTCGATAACTAAAACGCATTTTTCATCATCCGTATGGCCAATACATTCTAAAGCTGGCCGATGGACTGAATTCCACATATCAGGGCCACAACATTTACACAAGCCAGAAAGAGTGCAAGGAATTTTTGAAAGTGGGCGATATTGGTTTAACAATCCACGTGCCTTCCGTAATATCAATTAACCATCCATATACATAGCTAAGGAGCTAAAATGCGACAACATTCATCTGCCCTTAAATTTAAGCAATTACATCATCTGCATAGGCTGCTATAATGGCTAAGCTTAGAAATAAATGAAAGTAATCCATAATTGGACCAGCAAGCCTCTCTACATTCGGATTACTACATCTTCGGTAAATTCTCTTTAAAAGCACAATAGTAACCAACGATGGCAAAACAATTCTAAAGCATGGCTACGCAGTTTTAAATGTTCATAGAACCGCGGAAGGATACTGCGTATCAATTGAAGGTGGATTCAGTTTTTTTTAAATTTCATTAATAAAATAAATAAATAAATGTGCAAGTAAATTTAGATGAAAAAACTGAGCAAAGATAAAATAGGAGAAAAATTACATGGATAAAAAAAAATTGTGCAGAAAAAAACTTTAGCCAAAGGCTGCAGAATATTTTTAAACTAATCAAAAAAGAGAAAAAACTAATTAGCTTCTTTACAAAATTATTACAAACATAAAAGTAAAATAAAATATTGAAAGCAATTGTCATTGTCCTCAGCAGTTCCCATACCTTTTCAAGTGAGTGGTTATTTCCCAATTTACTAAATAATAGACAACCATCCGGCATATCCCCTCAAAGAATAAAAATTAAAAATTTGGATTTTTC